GATAAAAGCATACAGAAAAGGGGTATTTATTTATATCTTAATGGTTAATTATAATTCAAGACATAAATAGATAGATAGATAGATAGATAGATAGATAGATAGATAGATAGATAGACTCTGGCAGATAGATAGATATAAACAAATTTAGATAAATACAGATATTATATGGATACATGTCGTTTAAATATGCAAAATTAAAAGTAACACTGACATCTCATTTTAACTGATATATTTATCAAAATTACCCACAAATACCTTGAAATACTAAAGAGTAAATTTATTCAATAAAATCGACATTGGCTTCAATCACAGCCTCCAGACGACTTCGGAATCTCCTGTAACTCTTTTGAACGGTCTACTTGTTTTAGTTGGTGAATGCTGCGATAACTGCGCCTCACACATAATAATCAAGGGGGTTTGCAGTCTGCGGAGTTAGATGGCCAAATGTACATTTATATCTGCAGGCAGTTCTTATAATCTTATTTTCTTTCACCTAATATATAATAAGGCATATATCGACTTATATGATAAAAATATATATTTTTATAGATGTTTGTGGGTTTGGAATTTTCGTTTTTTATATATTAGATAATGTTATTTTTAAACATATATATCTATTCTTTGTTTCTCTGTTCTATTTGACCATTTTTATCTATGTATATTTGCCCGTATAAGTTACATCTTAATACGTAGTTAGCATTCGTTTAATAACACTTTAAGTCTTGAAACGTTAATTGTTTTATGACCCTTCGCGCAAAACTCTTCACTGCCAATTCAAGAAAGACATTCGGATTACTAACACAAAAACAGAGAATGTCTCATATCGAGAATATTTAACATTGAAAAACATAAGGAAAAAATTAATTATTTTTACCTGAAGACGGTCGCGAGACCAGAAACACGTGTAGTAATATTATGGAAAATAAAGCATAATATTTTTTTCTAAAACAATCCACATTACAACCAAAAACGTTTGCGCCACCTCTCTTCTCTTCTTTTTAATATACACACTTTTCTCTCGTTGGAACCACTATGATGACCTCATTCTTTTATATATATATATATATATATATATATATATATATGTGTATGTGTGTGTGTGTGTGTGTGTGTGTGTATGTGTGTGCGTGTGCGTGTGTATTTGTGTATGTATATATATATATATATATGTGTGTGTATATATATATATATATATATATATGGATGTATGTGTATATGTATAGATAGATAGGTACTTTGTATATTTGTTTAGATGAGTATGTGCATGTATATGTATGGATGTGTGTAAGGTTTTATGTGTATATGTTTATGTGCACATATGTGTATGTCTATGTGCATATGTGTGTATGTGTATATATATGCATGAGTGTATGTGTATGGATATATATATATATATGTGTGTGTGTGTGTGTTTGTGTGTGGGGGGGTGCGTGCACGTATATGTATGTATGTGTGAGTAAATATGTTGTTGTGTATGTGTGCATCTACATATGTGTTTTGGGGCATATAAATAGTAGGTCCTTACTAGATTAAATATCCGTTAATTTTTATATGTTTATGTTAAATTTGTAACCTGTAGGTGATATTACTTGCTTTGTCAAATTTTCTTGATTAGACATCGATTCTCTGATAAATGCCCTTCGTTTTTAGCTTCCCCCCACCCTCTCTCATCTTCTGGATTTTAATTTTAGATCATATCGTTTTTTAATGTGTGTAGTGTCATTACAAATGTATCCACACGTTTCCGGTGTCTGTTTTTTTTTATTTTAATTTAGGTCAGCTAATCGGTAGCGAATTATGCATCGAAAAATAATTCCTATTTATCTGTATCTCACTCATTTAAACCGTTATTTAACTCCTCTCTTTAAAACTTCTCTCTGTTAATTTTTAATCCCCACTTTATCCTTTAGGCCTTTCTGTTCTTCTTTCTTCTGTTACACCCTCTCTCTAGAGCTTTTATACATTTCCCTCTTACACTTGTTTCCCACTGCCACATATACACTTTCACTAAAATTTAATTTTTTATACCCGGAGTTATATTTTCCGTTTGAATTTGCAGGTTTGATGAATTGGATCGTGATTACGATTCCAATGTAATAAATTATAACCATGGAATATTAATGTTTGAGAATTTTTTATTAAATATATATATATATATATATATATATATATATATATATATAAAAATGAGATCTCACAGGGTATGTAGTTTGTCGATTATCTTGTTAAATTATTTTTCATCTCTCATAATAAATGACATTGTCTAATGTATTACGTTTTAGCCAATTTATATCCGAACCCCGAATATGAAGTCTGAGTGTCGTCTATGATTCTAAATCTGCGGGTCATGACCGCTTATGTATGATTGCTTCTTAACTTTCGTTTTTATCTCTTACTTTGAATTTAGCGTTGGTCATTCTGATTGGTTGATCTGAATAGAAACAAAACTAACCCTGCTGTTATCTCTTTTCTTTCTTACTCTTTTTTTCTTATTCTTCCTTTTCTCGAGAAAAGAGCGTGTATCTTGTGTTTTTCTTTCTTACATATTTTCTTCCTTTTTGCGTGAAAAGAGGGTTTATGCTGTTTTTAGAATTGCCTACTCACCAGTTATTTACTGACACCTGATGAAATGTGGTAATACTCATCGAAACATGATTGCATCTGCGTAGCGTTTTTTGATGTAATATTTTAAAATAAAGTATATAGATATTACTTAATTATATATATATATATATATATATATATATATATATATATATATATATATATATATTATGCATATACATAATTAAGCAATTCATCGGGCCTAGAAGACGCCAAAACAGAATATACTGGACGGTCGTTTCGAACTATATTTGGGGCTCATCAGCACCGAGAGTTGAAACCCGGACAGTTACGATATGAGGCAAACGTTGTACCAACTGTACAACTGGTCCTCGGCAACGAAGAGGTAGCGAATTAAACTCGATATAGCGCCGCTCGATCACATGGTGGAACTCCTTCAAGTTTCTCCTTACCCATAGGACTGTGCCCCCACGAGCCACGACCATGATGATTGCATCTAGCATATATATATATATATATATATATATATATATATATATATATATATATTATGCATGTTTCATTAAATAATATAGACAAGTTTTGTCTATTTATTTTAAGTAAGTTCCTTTCATATTGTCTGATAATCTTAATAACATTATCATTGGAATCTCCACAAATATTATTAAATGCCTATAATTGATAACACAAGCCATTCGTTAATACCAATGGCTTCCCATACTTAATACTTCTCGTTTTCACTCTCGCATGGTCATGTGTGACGTCACGAGCTGCGATGCGATTTTCGCGTCCGTGTCTCGTATACACGAGTTAGTCGTTGCTTTGAAATTTTTCATGCAACAAAAGCAGACTATCATTATAGTTTCGCCCGTGTATTAGTTGATATATTGAAAAGTAATTCTCATCTTTGATAATGGCTTATGCAAGCCGAAAGCTTACATAGGATTAATATGATACGACGAATATGGTGATTTCCTTTATATATATATATATATATATATATATATATATATATATATATATATATTGATTCTATTGACTGTTTTTGTTTAAGTTTGTGAATTGATTCAGTTATGACTACATTAAACGAATAACGGGCGATAACTAAAGAGTATAGAATAGAATGCAACATAGGACGAGAAATTCTGATGAATTACTGGTGTAAACTCCTTGGAATTGCGTTCACCCCCATTCCATAAACCTATGATTAATCTCAAGGCACAGATGTTTTGACGAGATAAAAAGCTCAGTCCGATGTTGAATCACAAATTAATAACAGGCATTTTTCCTTGAGAAACACAAAATTCACGTATCTTTTGCCTGACTTCTCAATCCGAAATAAATATTTCTTTGTCTTATACATTTCAGATAATAGCTAACGATTTTGGCTTCGTAAGCGCGTCTGAATTACGACTTTTGATCAATAAAGGCAGAATTGAATCAAAAGATGAAAAAGAAGGCCGGCCTCAGAAAATATCATCAGGCTATTTTTCTTTCTTTCCCTTTGCTGAATCCTCGCTTCTGCTGTCTGTGATCTCGCAACAGGATTACGCTTTCCTTTCTTCCAAACTTGATGACGTCCATCATTGACCTTTGTAAATAACATATGTCTAACCCCCGTACCTCTCCTTTCCTTTTCTGTTCAGCTGGAGTTAATTCTTCTATAGAGTATCTACACACTTGGATCTTTTAGTAGTACTTGCATTATTTGCATTATTCGGACTGTTATCCTCATATTCATTAGCATATTCACGACGTTTCGGCCGTTGTACCCTCCGGCCGTCTTCAGGTGATTGGAATTGTTCTTCAATATGTGTCTATGTCTCTTAGATGAGGTATTATGATTACTTGCATTCTTTACATTATTCAGACTGTTATCCTCATCTTCATTGCCATATTCACAAGGACACATGGCCCAGTGGATAAAGACGTTGGTTAGATCCAATGACAAGCTTCTAGCGATATATATAATAGCTGTCTATATCTCTGAGATGAGGTGTTATGATTACTTGCATTATTTACATTATTTGGGCTGTTATCCTCATCTTCATTGAAATCTTTAAAACATATTTCGTCCCCCGGGGTATATTATTCTAGTTCCACGTGCCATAGAAGAGGCATGGCACGTGGAACTAGAACAATCTAGCTCAGTGGACTGAATAAAGGGTTCAACGTGGTTGATTTAGTGCTTAGTTTTCTACGGTTTATTTAAAAGCCAGAAAATACATTTAGATTGTTAGAATTTGGCCCGGAGATAATAATTGTTTAGTGGTACAAAACTTATTAATTAACCCCTAGCTGGGGGAAGAAATGAATGCTTACCTTTTCCCAAGGTTATTTGCGCGTAACTGAATATAACGAGCTTAATGGGGACTTGAACTCGGCTCCCGATTAACAATTCTGAGCCATTATCTATTACACCACCCTCACATCCAAGCACCTGGTATTCCTAAGCGGTCACCTATCTAGGTACTGACCAGTCTCGACGTTGCTTCACTTCGATGATTGTATGGGAACCTGTATTTCAACGTATAAACTCTTCTGTCTTCGGCATAGATTTTTGTTTGTTTTCATTATATTCTGCAATTCTATGTTCGGAGAGAACACAAGGATTTCATATGTGACTAAATAATGGTTAGGTTGAATATGTTCCTGACTTAATATTTACTAAGCTTAACTTGGCACACGATTAAAGAGTGTAGAGAAACCGTATTATCATTTATCAAAATGGAAAAAAAAACATGGCGGCTTTGAAAATTAGTATTTAAAATCCTACCTTTTATTTTAATTTATACAACGACCAGCCACACTCTCGGTCACGTGGTAGGTCAAAAGTCTCACATAATAATTTATTACTACTAAATAACACTAATACATTTCTTTACATACCAGCAGAATCATTTATCAATCTTTGGGTAGGATTATAACTTGTAATGATACAGGTAATTTGTGTGTGTTCAGGATCATGTAGGCACACTATAGATGGATAGATAACAAGAACATAAATATGACTACACTAACTCTCATACAATTACAGAATCTTCTTGTGATGTAATGGTTAACAAGCTACAATTGTAGGTTATTTATTCTGAGTTCAATCATCAATTACTTTTTTTACCAAAACTAATCTAAGCTTAGTAAATAAAATCTTTAATGTCATCCCTTGAATCCAATGACAAAAGGTGAAGGTCTTATGAAAAGGTGAAGGTCTTATGACCAGAGACAGAATGAGCACTTTGGATATTGGGAATCTGGTTTCATGTCACTTCGATCAAACAAATATGAAATTGGTTTACGACATTTTTTTCTTTACATCAAATAAATTTTAGAAATTCTTCGGATAAAAACAATAGAACATAAATTGGATATTAAATCTTGCCAAATTGTATCCTGGAACAGTATGAGTTGTGGGAACTTATTTCCTTGAGTGTTGTTTTAAATTAAGAGGAGGATTCATCTAAATTAATTCACAAATTATTCTGACTAATATCCTCATCTTTGCGGAAGAATTAAAAACGCATCTTTTGAAACATTGTAATAAAAATCAGTCAAGATGAGGATACGGGTTCGGGCTTATGGAAGGAGGACTTCAGAGAATACATTTATAATTTATAAAAGCGGAGGTGAAATGTAATGTTGAAAACAATAAGGATGAGGATACTCGCCTGAAGATGAAGCCATCTCGGAATTTTAGACAAAACACAGAAGACCAAATAACACGACTCACCAAAGAAACATACTGATAAAAATTAACAAGATGATTCATCCAAATTAGTCCTGGAATTTCGAAATTTATGTTAAAAGAATTTTGCCTCCGAAATGCTTACATTTTTATTTCGTGTTATACTTTTGTTTCTTATTTCGATGTAAAAAATAAACATTTGTGTTCAATTTTCTTTTGTTTTCTTTGCAGGAGCTCATCACAACATTATACATTGGGTTCTTAGGTCTTATTATCTCATCGTTTCTTGTGTTTTTGGTGGAGAAAGACGCCAAAGATACCAAATTTAAAACGTACGCTGACGCTCTTTGGTGGGGTGTGGTAAGTATAACGCTTAACTATTCATTTAATTGTCTAGCTCCTCTTAAAATAACGACTGTAACAGCTGGCTTCCTCTGTCCTATTATAAAAGTTCGTTAAGGAAAAAATGTTTATTGAAATACTGACTTCACCGACTTCTGTTTACGATTCTGTCATGCAAATGACGAAACATTTTCATTTTCTGTATTTTTATTCAAACAAATTTTTTTGTAAAGAAAAAAGTAATTTGTTACCTTCAATAGCCTGTCCGAATCCATAAGCAATGATTTTATCACAATCACGAATCCCGTGGTCCATTAGGGTCGTAGGAGCATCACGCGCACTTCAGCCGCAGAAGAAGTGGTGTGTCTTAGGCAAGATAGCCTGATAGAGCCCAACCCTCTCTAGGTTGCTTCTCCTTTTCCTATACTGTCGTCCACCTAAGGCTATAGGACCCAATCTAATCCGCTATTTACCTATAGCTGGGGGGAGAAGAGTTGGATTCATGCCTTGCCTAAGGGTATTAGCACGAAAAGTGATTGTAATTAACTCGACTGGAATTCGAACTCGGTTTTCTGACTCCTCAGTCCGAACCGCTAACCATTACCCGACGATCTTTTATCCACACACGCTAAACATTCCAAAAGATAATCGCTCCAAAATATAAAATTTGTGAATCGTTTGTAAAGAAAACATTACAAGAAAAATCCCCCAAATAATCAAAAGGATCTAAAGAGTTGTTAGCTTTTCATTGTCAAAACTTCTGACACATGTTAGTCGTTTAACATACGAAAAATGAGATCAAAAACTCCATATACAACAGTTCATGCAATAGCTATAGAAATAGCAGAAGACTTGTATACTGGAAACTCTTTATCCCAGATGAGATCACAAGATCAGCCATAGCATCGCATGTGTAGAAGGGCAAGTGTGAATGGAATTTAAAACAGATACAATAGAGGTAAATAGAATTTAAAATCTGGAAGGAATTTAAAACAGAAACAGAATAACAATGGCTGAAATATAGTATTGACATTATCAAAGACGTAGAAGTTCAGAAAGAAATTCCCAAACATATTTCTTTTATTTCGACCCATAGCAGAAAGGTAAGTTTAAAATTCGTTTTTCTTTCCAAAATTGACACCCCATGGCTAAAGCGCTCACTCTACCCTGGTAGAGCTGTATTTTCCCAAGCTAACAAAAACTGTCGGTCTTTGGCAGGACCCCCACTCAATTTTTCATGAAAAACTAGGCTACCTTCGCTTGGATCACTGCTCTCCACAACTTCTTATCCTTAGGTTTGTCTTTTCGCTATCTCTTCCACTCGTTGTTTCGCCATTCAATTATCCAATCTTTTTAGCCAGCCTACTCTCTGCTTTCCTCCATCCCTCTCGCCTTCAATACACCCATCGAGTGTCAAATTCTCCTAACCCTCTTTCCTCATTATGTCTCCAAGAATTTCCAACTCTCCCCTTCAGATTCTAATTATAAGCCTCCTTTTAGTTTCCATTTTCTTTTAAAATTTTCTCGTTATTCATATGTTGAGTTTATGATATTCTCTTTATCATATCTGTGGCCTCGAGTCTCTTCTTCATATTTAAGGAGATTGTCCATCATTCATTTTCGTCGAGGAGGACTTCGTTTCTGTGAATCTATGAAATGAAAATGAATGTATAAGGAAACCAAATGTACATTTTCAATTTATATGAATACCAGAAAAAGAGAAAAAGGAAAATGTTTTGCAATTAAAGCCTAAATTATCAGTAAACAAAGGGGGTCCGTTTAGAAGTAAATCTCTTAATAAAACATGACGGAACCCTGACTTTGTCCGATCGTAGCTTTTAGTAATTTTGTTTTACGGCATATCAACACCTCAATGGGTTACTTAATGCCGACAAGATTTTTAAGATAGGTTCGTATGAATAGAATATGTATTTTTTGCAAGAAATAACTTTGTAGATCAGTTTTCATTGAGTCATTTTTTAAAGAGGGTTTTTGTCGAATGTATTGCTAATATTTATTTATTTATTTTGTCAAAAAATAAATTGTTGGTAATATTCTGCTTTTTAAATGTATTCCTGGTATTTTTTTTCAAAAATGTATTTTTACTATAAAAATCTATTTTTATATTCCATTGTGTGCTTTTGACCGCCGTTTGGGGTTAACTATTTTCTCATAGCTTGGATCCTAACAGGTGCTTCCACCCCGGGTCAGGGTGGAACTATGAATAGCAGTAATTAAGAGGTTAATTAAGAGTAATTAAGATTCCACGCGCCTCAAAACCTCCTGATCAGATGCCTTGCTGTTGGATGTAGTTTATCGTCATACCCAGGAAAGAAAAGTAAAAGTAAACAAGGAATATAAAAGTTCCATGTGACTTCTAAAGTTCACCAGGTGCAACATAACCGTATAGATACAGAAGAAAATATCGGTTGAAAGGCTGTCTCAAAAGACGGTACTGAAGAATTCTAACCAAATCGCCAAGCAGGCAGAATTTCTTTTCAATCCCGTTGGGACGAACACTTTTCAGCATTCCGCGTAAAATTAACAAAGACGAAGGCAAAATGAACAAAGACGACGGCAAAATCACTTTCGGTGTCATTTTTAGTCATTATTCCCTAAATTCAGCCGATACATCCTACGTCCTTCTTCAGGTGTCAGTGACCTTCTTTTTTTTTTTTTTTTTTTTTTTTTTTGCTTTTTTTTTCCATTGGCAGTTTCATACGAATATCTGAATAAAAAGGACCTCAGTGGAGTGTATGCTCCCACGAGAGACAGGCTAAAGTGGCTCTGTGTTAATAGGCATCCCTTGAAATCTAATTACTCATCCAACATAGCGACGCATTAGTGGGTCATTTCAAATCACTACACTAGAGAGGCTTACGTGAAATTCATCTCTCGACACTTGCCCTTCATATTATGTAGTCAGAGTACGAGGTCAAAGGTAAAAATAATTGAATCAAGATTTATTTTTCTAATGTCCCTTCAGGACGTGGGTAGTCATTCCACAACTTCCTATATTCCCCCCCCCGCCATCTTTCTACACTCTATTCTTCTATCCATTTACACAAGCTTGTTAGGCAGGTGACTCGTCGTTTCTAGTATTCCGTCCTGCCTACAAAATGTCCCGTCAGACTCACTAAATACAGCCTGTAAAATCAGCTTGTAAATCATAGCTCTATAGTAGGCGCACGTGGATATTCGCAAGACGAGTCTCTTCTCCAAAAGAATAATTGTTGAAAAGATTAATGATGATCGATCTCAGTAAAAATTGCCTCAGGTTCAGCTACTGTGTCCTAAGAGGCTCGACAGGTGTCCTACTACGAATGCTCCAACAACAGGTGCACATACTTAAGTCATCTTTATAAAAAAAAAAGAAAGAGAAGTGAGACTCTCAGGTATATTTAAAAATCCCTTAACCATTACCAATCCTGGTTTTCAGTTATATTCACCGCAAGAGTCTTTATCAGGAGGAACCTAATTAGAATTACGGACAGGATAAAAGGAA